TTATTTCTTTTTTCTTGATTTGTTTCTATTGGTTCTTCTTCTTGACTTTTACTATCTGTTTCCTCCTTGCTTTCCTGTTCTTCTTCTAGTCTAAAGTGTGTGTTATGGAATTCTCTTGCCTTTTCTAGAGTGTCTATTTTATATTTTTTGTCTTCCCACGTAATTAAGATCCCCTCTATTGGCAGCCATCTGTACATTATCTTATATTTGATCAATAGTTGTGTTAAAAACTGATATTGTTGTCGTAGATTTCTTACTCTTCAGGGTATCTGTTTTAAGATTATAATTTCTTTATCATTATAGATCACTGTTTCTTCTCTAGATTTCTTATAGGCTTCATCTCGGATTGATTTTTTTAAGAATTTGACATGGACTTCTCTCGCCAGTCTGTGTTTTCTTATATAATTTGTTTGTACACGGTAAGTTTCTTCCAATTGTCCTTTTATTTCTTCTGGCTCTTTTTGTGTCATTCCTGCGATAATTTCCACCATCTTCCCTTCTAAATCCTCATTTTTTTCTTCTGGAATATTTTGAAAATGCAAGAAGTATGAGGCCTTTTCCATTTCGAGCATGGCCAAGGAATCTGACATTTCTTTATTTAGTTGTAGGGTTTTTTGTTCCATTGCTTCTACTTTTAATTCCACATGATCTATTTTTGTTTCCATTTTCCTAATTCTCTGTTCATTTTCTGCTGTAGAATTTTGAATGCCCTCAATTTTATCCTTCATGGTCTTGATATCCTCCTTTACTTCTCCTATTTCATTTCTAATCTCTGCATGGAACGTTCTCATTTCTTCCTGATTTTCAGCTATTTTTTCTTGTGTTTGGAGCAGTGTTTCCTGGATCTTTTGAAACATATCTTGTATTACATTTGGTGCCATTTCCAGTTTTTCTTTTTCTTTCCCCATCATGCTATCTATTGTTTTTTGTTGTGAGGAGTCATTACTAACGTATTGGTTGTAGGTTTTTCCCCCTGTCTTTGTTATGGTGGATGTTGTAGACATTTTCAATATTCGTGTAAAGCTTTCCAACCTTAACATCAATTATTAAGTTATTCCTTAGTATCTCTTTTCCCCTCCAAACACTGCTTATATACCACACAGCTTATATATAGTTATATTATATTATATTGCCAATTATCCCAATTGAGCAATTAATTCTTATTCACAGTATAAATCAATTTACTTATCAATCAGGATTTTAGTTTAATTTTCTTAATTTTCTAATTAGCAATCTTTTCAACTACCCCCTTTTTCAATCAGTCTATCTCAAACATAGTCAACTCATTTGTTATTTTGTATAAAAATCAATCTTTCACTTTAACAATAATTCCTTATCTAACCACAATTTCACAATACAATTTATAGCTATAAAAATATTATCTACTTATTTATTTCTTTTAAATATTAAACTTATTAACTAATTAAACAGTTCAAAATTAATAATTCACTTCCCTCTTGTCTTAATTTTTATTTTCTTTGGTCTTTGTTGTCTTCTTGTTTTACCTCTCTCGATCAGTTCTTTCACAGTCATAAAAACGCGATCTGTGTCCGTCTCAGTCTTTTTTTTTTTTTACTTCTCCCAGTAATCGGATATCTGCATTGAGTTTTCAAATCTTTTTTTAAACTTAAGTTCTTATTGTCCAAACTTATTTGTAAATCCAAAGTCCGAAATCCAGATAGGTCTTCTGTACCCGTGAATTTCACCACTTAGTCCGGTATTTCAGTCTCTGCACTCAGTTTTCCGATATTTTGGGGTTTGAGTCAGTTATAGTTCCCAGGTTCAAATGGCTTGTCTATATCCACAGAGTCCACAGGCTGCTCCCTTTGCTTAACTGTAAAAGTCCGCACTCACACCGCTTCGAGCGCTATTTCTCCTTTTCTTATGTTTGCTTAGTCATTCTATGGGTTCCTCTCTTCCGCGCTGTAGTTGTTTCCCCTTTTTTCCTTCTCCTCTTGTACTGCCGCTGTTTTAACTCACTTGTCTTCCTCTGATTCGATCATGCGTCTCCTGTTTACCGCCTCTATTGTAGGTGATCTATCTGACAGTCACTCGAATTTGCTTCCACTATTTGCTTCAATCTAGGCGGGCGCCATCACTCCTGTCCGCCGATAAGGCCGACTTCTTCTCCACCAATTTAAGAGGTTGATCGCTCGACCTCCCTGATGACAGCGCAACACCAGGGGGCTTCGCAAGTTCCTCTTTCGTTTCCCGATCCATCCAAGTTCGGGAACGCCCTTAAAGAGCAATTAATGAGGAAATTTGGGTATCAGAGACGGAGCCTCCGTTTCCTCACCCGTTCATGATGACGTCACCGCCGGAAGTCCCGGAACTACTTTTTTTTTTTAATGGAAAACAAAAGAGAGGACACTTCTTTACAAAATACTTGGGACACTGCTAAGGCCATAGTGCGAAGACTGGCAATAAAACACTTAACCCGCAAGTGGAAAGAAGAAAAGTCAAAAAGGGTGGAGCTAATATCAGAGTTAGAAAAAATGGAAGAGGTGTTGCAATTAGACCCACGAAATCTTAAACCCAAAGAGAAAATAGAGTTAAATAGACATGAGATTTCATTAATAGACCAAAAGGAGTTGGAGACAAAATTAGGAAAAGCAGACAAAGACAATTTGAACATGCGAACAAAGCTGGGAAATGGTTAAGTTATAGACTAAAGAAAGAGGCAGAAGCAAGAAAAATAGAATACCTACAGGATAAAAATGGAAATTTGGCAGCTAATAGGGATCAAAAAGTAAAAATAGCCCAGGAATTTTATGGCTCCTTATATGGAGAAGAAAGATGTCAAGAAAATAAACTTGGGGAATATCTCAAGGGACTTCAATTGGAACCGATTCCCCAATTCTTTTAAGCACACTTTAAACAAAGAGATTACTATTGGCGAAATTGAAAGAGCTATTAAGAAGCAAGCGGGGGGAAAGACCCCTGGGCCCAATGGTCTCCCAAGTGAATTATACAAAGGTATTATTGACTTGCTGAGTCCTCAACTAAAGCATGTATTGAACGAGGCCTTAATATATGCCAAGATACCTCAATCCTGGAGGGAAGTTTATATTTTGTTGATCTCAAAGTCCAACTCGGACCAATCACTAATTCAATCTCGCTCTTAAATGTCGATTATAAGATCTTTACAACAGTACTAGCAGAAGGACTCAAAATATTTCTTTCCCACTTCATCCATCAGGAGCAAAATGGCTTTCTACCTTATAGACAACTTTGAGACAACGTAAGAGTAATTTTAAATATAATGGAGTATTATGAAAGGTATTCAGACAAAGATATGGCAATGGTATTCGTAGATGCCCAAAAGGCCTTTGATAGGGTCAATTGGAATTTTATTACACAACAATTAAAAATTATGGAATTTAGCTCTAAATTTATAAATGCAATTCAGGCTATATATACTAAACAGTAGGCCAAGTTGCTATTGAATGGAACAATCTCCGATGAGATTAAAATCTCCAAAGGTACTAAACAGGGTTGCCCTCTCTCACCGGTATTATTCGTTTTAACTTTGGAACCAGTTCTCAACATAATCAGGCAAGACAAGGATATTAGAGGCCTAAGGATTAAGGGAGAAGAATACAAGCTCCAAGCTTTCGCTGATGATCTTGTATTCATCTTGGAAGACCCTCTAACTTCAGGTCCGATATTGCTAAGGAGAATTGAAGAATATGGAGAAGTGGCAGGATTAAAAATTAACAAAGATAAAACTAAAATGATATCCAAAAACTTAACAGAGGATAAAAGAAATAAGGTGCAGGAAGCCATGGGACTTAAATTTACCAAGAAGGTAAAATACCTAGGGATTTGGCTGACAAACAAATGTTCTAATATTAAAGAGACCAATTACTTTAAACTATTGGCTGATACAGTAGAGGACCTAGATAGATGGAAGAATATACAGATTTCACTTTTGGGCACGGTTGCTGCTTTGATTATCCTCCCACGGTGGATTTTTCTATTTCAAATGGCTCCTGTAAATTTGGATAAAAATTTCTTTAGGAAATTGGATCAGGTAATAAGCAAATTTATTTGGCAAGGGAAAAAACCACGAATTAAGAGAAAAATGCTACAGGAGCACAAAACGAGGGGGGGCTTTGGGCTCCCAAATTGGGAGTTATACTACCAAGCCTCGTCCCTTCTTTGGATAAGAGATTGGGTATCCCTTTCGAGAAAACGCATATTAACCGTTAAGGGATTTCTTCACCAAGGCTGGCATTCAGCTCTGTGGGCACAACAAGGAAAACAATCTAAATATTTTACTAACCACTATATTAGAAGAATTTTAATAAAAATATGGGAAAAGGTGAAGAAACAAACTTATACCCAAGTTCCTAAATGGGTGGTCCCATTGGAGATGGCAACCTACCCAACTGTTTATAATATAAAAAGAAATTGGACCTACAATATCCTGATGGATGGAGGAGGGAACTTAATATCAAGAAAGGAACTTCAAGTAAAAGGAATAGATATAGATTGGTGGTCATATGCCCAAATTCAAGCTAGATTCAGAAAAGACAAACAAGAGTATGGTATTTACCAAACGACACAACCGCTAGACAGACTCCTTCTGGGTGTTGAAACAAAATTTATATCTAAGACCTATAATCTTTTGCTATCAAGCTATACAGCTGAGGAGATAGTAAAAGATACGATGATTGCCTGGGAGAGAAACTTAGGAAGACCGATGCAACTTGAACAATGGCAGGGAATATGGAATAGATCAGTGAAATTCACATTATCAGCGGCATTTAAGGAGAACTTTTATAAAATGATCTATAGGTGGTACCTCCCACCAGATAGGATAGCTAAAATGTTCCCTGGATCCTCGGACAAATGTTGGAAGTGTAATTTGGCCAGGGGTACTTTCTTTCACCAGTGGTGGACCTGCCCTCAGATCAGGAAATTTTGGGAAAAGATTCAAAAATGGTTGAACGAGATAACAGATGCAAGTTTCCCCCTAACTTCAGATTCTTACTTACTTGGAATCAAACTAAAAGACGTGGGCAAACAAGACTGGCACCTATTCATCCATATTACAACAGCAGCGAGAATGGCACTTGCCTATTGGAAAAATACAAATACACCATCAGATCAACTTATAATAAATAAGATATTGAATTGTGCCGAATTGGACAACTTAACCTATAACCTGAGAGACAAAAAAGAATTCATATACTACAGTAACTGGGAACGCTGGTATATATGGCTAAAGAAGAGGACAAACATAGAATAAATAACATAGTATTAAATATATATTTAATTATAATGAGATAGCGTTTGGTATTTAAAATAGTCAATGCTATTTGAACAAAAGGATTTACTGGGGTGTAATTATGAATAAGTATCTGGGGGTTCGATATGACCCCCGGTTAGTCTTTCTTTGTGGTTGTCTTTATGTGTTGTGTTGTGTACCTATATATAACCTATATCTGTTTGAAAATTACTTTATATGTTTTTTTTATTTGTAAATAATTAATAAAGATCTATTTAAAAAAAAAAAGAATCAAAGAACTCCTAGCTCAAACCCTACCTCTCGATTTTGCCGTTCATAAGTTCCAGCCTCGTGATTGGATCCTGATAAAACCTGATGTGAGGACAAACTTAGCCAAGTCCTACCAAGTCCTGCCGACTACTGAAACAGCGGTCCAACCTAAAGACAAAGGGTGGACCACTACACCCATGTAAAAGACCAGTGGGAGAACTTAAAGAGTGGCAAGTGATTCCTGGAGAAGACCCGCTGAGAATAAACCTTTCCAAAAACTGATGTGGTCATTGTGGTATGAATGGGCTTTGTTTGTGATTTTTCTCATTGCAGGAGTTGCAACTTTTTGGTTTTTTCGGCCTGAATGGTGGCCTCTCTTATTCCATCTGAAGATCCCAAAAGAAGCTGTGCAACTTTGCACTCTCCAGATTGTGTTGGTTCTGTGATTGTAACTGTATCACAGAATGTTGTTGTTATTCTTGTTGTAATTGTGAATTTATACACGCTTGTGGGGAATAATGGGACACTGTGCTTGTGAAAACGTGTAAGGGATTACTCTCCATAGAAATTCTATTCCTGTATATATCTATCCTACACCGGCGAATTGGGGCATTGAATCAGATCAACCTGACTTGAACACAGTAGCTCTAGGAGATAGTGATATCATAATCCCTGAAGATATAGAATGGATTGATTTAATGCAATGGTTCAATATTTGGGACTAATTTTCTTATGCATAGGGCTAATATGAGGAGAATATAATGCAATGATAAGTATGAAAAATCATATTACATGTAAGGGTGTTTTCTTCGCTTACTGTCATTTTTCAGTCTGGAATTAACCTGACACAACCTAGTAACCCATTTGAAAAAAAAATAACTAGACTGAGTGGGATGTGGTAACTCTTAATTGACATGCTCCAGATGTCTTACATTGGATAAATGGAAAGTTTGCCTATGTGCAATTGCCTAGCCGATGGGATGAAGCATGTGTGCTAGGAACGGTGAAACCTATTTTTCTTCCTTTTTCTACTGCCCATACAACAAGGTGAAAGACTGGGTGTACCTATTTATCTGGAAGTAGGCCACAGAAAGATGACTGGCCTCCAGAAATAATAGTTCAGGTGTACGGACCAGCCACCTGGGCAGAAGATGGTACAGAACTCCCTTTATATGCTGAATAGAATTGTAAGGTTACAGCCAATTATTGCAATGACAGCTAATGCAACTGCTAGTGCTCTAAATTTCTTAGTTAAACAGCACTCTCTGTTTAAAACAGCAATATCCCAGAACAGATTTGCTTTACAATACTTGTTAGCAAAAGTAAAATTTAATCTCACAAATTTTGTTTGCAAAACTGATGATTGTTAACCTTTGGAGGTCTCCTTCTTCTCCCTTATCTCATTCCTTTAATCCAAAGAATAGTCACATCAACTATTTCTGGGATTACAGTCATAGCATCCTCAGTGTCGACCATTCCTCGTCAAAAGCCTGCAAATCTCATGAGTCTTAAAACAAAACCTACTAAATATGTACCCCTCTTACAGCATGATGGAATGCATTCCATCGTTTAAATACAAAGAGTGGAATGTAGGGAAACAATAATAAGGATAGCATATAAAATACTGATATATTCCATATAGAAGATACTATATGGAATACAAATTTAAAGTCATATGAGGGTTTTACTTATATAGGGAAATATCTTTTAGTGATATGGGCAGAAGAATAAAGATATTAAATATATTATGTATGGTAGACCTGTAGGAAAGTGGGTGAAATAAAATTGATATGGTATAAGGTGATAGGTAACGTTACTGATTGCTTAGTTTAGGAAAAGGGATGTTATGTTTATATATTAATATTTATTTATTTATTTTATTTATTTGTTTAAATTTCTATACCGCCCTTCTCCAATATAGGACTCAGGGCGGTGAACAGCCAAAGTAAAAACAAGACATACAAAATCTAAAAACTGTTTAAAATAATTAAATATTCTGGCCGTAATTAAAAAATTCCAATTTAAAATCAGTTTAAAATTTAGCTCAAGCCAGCCCAGCTAGCTGAAATAAATGGGTTTTCAGGGCCCGACGAAAAGTCCAGAGGTCTGTTATTGTACGTATCTCAGAGGGTGGGCGCCGCCACAGAGAAGGCTCTCCCCCTGGGGGTCACCAGCCGACATTGTCTGGCGGACGGCACCCTGAGGAGGCCCACTCTGTGTGAGCGTACTGACCGGTGGGAGGCTATTGGTGGCAGAAGGCGGTCTCGTAAATACCCTGGCCCTGGGCCATGGAGTGCTTTAAAGGTGGTCACCAACACCTTGAAGCGCACCCGGAAGACCACCCGGAGCCAGTGCAGCTCGTGCAGGAGAGGTGTCACATGGGAGCGCCTCGTCGCCCCCATAATCCCCCGCGCGGCCGCCTTCTGGACCAGCTGGGGCCTCCGGGTGCACCCCAGGGGGAGCCCCATGTAGAGAGCGTTGCAGTAGTCCAGGCGGGAAGTGACAAGTGCCTGAGTGACTGTGCATTGGGAGTCCCGATCTAGAAAGGGGCGCAACTGGCGTATCAGGCGAACCTGATAAAAAACCCTCCTGGCCACGGCCGTCAGATGATCTTCTAAAGACAGCCGTGCGTCCAGGAGGACGCCCAAGTTACGAGCCCTCTCCGTGGGGGCGAGTGATTCACCCCCAATAGCCAGCGATGGCATCAGCTGGCTATATCGGGACGCCGGAAGCCACAGCCACTCGGTCTTGGAGGGGTTGAGTCGGAGCCTGTTTCTCCCCATCCAGGCCCGCACGGCCTCCAGGCACTGGGACATCACTTCAAGGGCATCATTGGGGTGGCCTGGGGTGGAGATGTACAGCGGGGTGTCATCAGCGTACTGGTGGAACTCCACCCCGAAGCCACGGATGATCTCACCCAGCGGCTTTACATAAATGTTGAACAGAAGAGGCGAGAGGACCGACCCTTGTGGCACCCCACAAGCCATGTGCCTCGGGGTCGACCGCTGCCCCCCTGTCAACACAGATTGCGACCGGTCAGAGAGGTAGGAGGAGAACCACCGCAGAACGGTGCCTCCCACCTCCAACCCCGCCAACCGGTGCAACATGATACCATGGTCGATGGTATCAAAAGCCGCTGAGAGGTCTAACAGGACCAGGATAGAGGAGCAACCCCTATCCCGGGCCCTCCAGAGATCATCCACCAATGCGACCAATGCCGTTTCTGTGCTGTGCCCAGGCCGGAAGCCGGACTGGAGCGGGTCTAGATAGACAACTTCATCCAGGTACTTCTTTCAAAGCGGCTGGCAGGACCCCCTCACTCAAAGAAGCGTTAACAATCTTCTGGAACCAGCCTCGTGTCACCTCCCGGGAAGCCAGTACCAATCAGGAGGGACACGGGTCCAATAAACATGTGGTCGCGTTCAGCTGTCCCAGGACCCTGTCCATGTCCTCGGGAGCCACAGGATCGAACTGCCCCCAGATAACACTCTCAAGACCTGCCTCAGTCATCCCGTCCGGACATACCCAGTCAGAGGCCAGCCCTTCCCGAATCTGAGCGATTTTGTCATACAGACACTGCACAAAATCCTCAGCTCGGCCCTGCAAGGGGTCATCCCGCACTTCCAGATGGAGGAGGGAGCGGGTCACCCTAAACAGGGCGGCCGGGCAATTATCTGATGACACGATAAGAGCGGCAAAATAGCTAGTTTTCGCCGCTTTTATCGCCACTAGGTAGGTCTTAATATGAGACCTCACCAGTGTTCGGTCAGATTCGGAGCGGCTGGTCCTCCAACTACTCTCCAGGCGTCTTTTCCGGCGCTTCATCTCCCTAAGCTCCTCAGAGAACCAAGGAGCTAGGTGAGTTCAGTGCCGGGTCAGAGGCCGCAAAGGCACGACTCGGTCCAAGGCCCCGGCAGCCGCACTATCCCAGGCGGCCACCAGGTCTTCAGCCGAGTCATGAGCCAGAATCTCAGGAAATGGCCCAAGCTCCATCTGGAACCTATCAGGGTCCATCAGGCGCCTGGGCCGGAACCACCTGGTCGGTCCCGTCTCCCTGTGGCGGGGTGCAGCGGTTAGAAAGTCCAGTCGAAGGAGCGAGTGGTCAGACCATGACAAGGGTTCGATGGCTATATCCCCTATATCAAGGCCACTCAACCACTGTCCAGAGACAAAAACTAAGTCCAGAGTGTGTCCCGCTGTGTGAGTGGGGTCATGAATTAACTGAGTAAGGTCCATGGCTGTCATGGAAGCCATGAACTCTCGAGCCACCTCAGATGTTTCACCGATAGATGGCAGGTTAAAATCCCCCATGATGACAAGTCTGGAGGTGTCCACCGCCATCTCGGCTATAACGTTAAGCAGCTCGGGCAGGGCCGTTGCCACGTGGCAGGGAGCCAGGTACATGACCAACAAGCCCATCTGTACTCCACGACCCCACTTCACAAAGAGGGACTCACATCCGGCTATCTGTGGAACAGTGGTCTCCCTTGGATCCAGACCTTCCTTTATAATAACCGCCATCCCCCCGCCCCTGCCCTGAGCCCTCGGCTGATGAAATGCACGGAAGCCTGGTGGGCAT